CAGTAACAGATTGAGTGACCTGGGCTAAAATGACCTCTTTTGGGGGTTGGTTTGGGGGATTTTTTTGCTAACCAGCTTTAACATGGCCAGTTACCTGACTGTTTCACTGCTAAGCCTCACAGTTACCTCAGCACAGAAGAAACGTCCCAAAGGCCGGAAGAAACATCTGAGGATGACAAGGCAGCAGGACTATTTATTTCTTTCAGTAGCAGTACAGGCTTGTGCCTGCTTGAAATGCCCTTAAACCTACTGTCTGAGAATCTTGATTCTCTATCAATGTGTACATTTTTAATGTATAAGAATTAGCAAATAAAATTCCATCAGTGAAAACTGATTGTATTTAAAACTTTGCAGTTTTACTACTTATGCAAGAGAGATTTAAGTTGACTGTTGAGAAAGGATCTTGGCACAAATAATCCAAAATTTCAGTCCAAAAATTGTATGCAGATAGGCACCAAGGGTGAGGTCTGGTAGTAAAACCTCAACCTAAAGATTTGTATAATTCCTCTGGTTGCTTGAAACTGCTCAGATAGGACAGTCATAGCTCACAGTGGGAGTTTGTCCTAAGAAAGATGGCAGGAGGAGTAACTAGGAGTAACACATGAAGGAAGTATTAAAAAAAAGTAGGATAAGAAGCAGGAATGTTAAATTTGAAAAAATCAGGATGGATTTGGCACTCCAACTACTGCAGGTATGCTAGGAGAGCCTTGATGTAGATGCAGCTTTTCTGGCCAAAAAGTTTAAAAGAATGCCTGGGTAATATTTTACTGACCTGTCTTTTTTAATACACAGGACTGTACTGGAGAGGTCAAGCAGACCACTAAGTAAGATGCGGTTTGAAATGCGTGCAGCTGTCTCTAGGCTCTCCATTAGTGGGGCTGACTTTTTTATTTATTGCTGAGATAAAAGTGTGGTAAAATGCTCCAGTTTTTAACAGTATTTGGCCAAAGACAGTAATGTATTATTTTTATTTATGCAGCTTGAGAGGCCTATGGATTTTTTTTGAAGATGTTAAGGCAGTAAGGCTTATCCATTTATATGCTGGTATCATCCCTGTTGAAAAGCAGAGGAAAACAAGGTTGTGCCATCTGTTACTAATTTGCATCCCAGTTCTGACAGCCACACTGGACTGCTGCAGGACAGTTGAGCTCCTGATGAAAAAGCTCTGCTCCAGCCTTCCCGTTTTAACTCTCATCCAGTCCTCTTCCTTCTACAGCCTCACCCAGAATGAGCCAAGAGTCATTCTGGCCAAAAATCTTGAGTGGGGAAGGTGGTAAGGAAGGGATTTCCTTCTGTATCATAAGGTGAAGGCAGGGCAGAGCTATAAACTGGGGAATTATTAGATAAAAAGTTCATTCTGTCTGTTAGCATGAAGTAAAGATAGGCACTTGCATTTCCATTCCACTAATTGCTTTCAGCTCCTTAGGAATTAAATTAATTAAATAGTAATGAACTAGCATTTTACTTTGCATTTCTCTATATAGTATTTAATCGAAATATAGCTAGGAAAATGGCATATATAATAATGTCTGCATGGCTCTAGATGGGGTTTATTAGGTTCAGCACAGCTGAAAATCGATTTCGGAAGTACATCTTGGAAGGAAGATTAAATACATCTCCAAGTTTTGTATTTTTTTAGTGCAGCTGCTCTTGTGATGTACTCTGAAAGCATGAGTCACAAAGCTAATCCTGACACGCAGCGAACAGAACAGGTTTGACCTTTCTTAATTTAATGTCTTCATTTTGCATGCAGAGACCCTTCATCTCTTCTGAGACCAGAAAGATATGAAGGGCACTTTCAGAGCCAAGCTGGCACTTCTGTTTCATTCATTTTCTTCCCTAATTAGCTAGCCTAGGTTTGGGTGAAACTATGCCCTTTTGAGAGATTTAGGTTTAATTCTGCCTCACACAATGCAGCAAGAATCATCAGCTTTTGGAAGTGCCCATCCAAATTCACTATTTGAAAAAATTGTTTTCTAGGACAGCCACCAATACCTCTGCATGTTACAGTGTATCATACACGCAAGTAATTTTCTGCAATACAGATTTTTCATTCATGTAGCTTTTTTGTATTAGCTAAATATCCATACAGCCTGCTACTTTGGATGAAGTCGCAAAACACAATGCATAAACTATTGTGTTCTTCTTCTGATGTGTGATTACAATTTTTTTCTTACACAGATTATGAGCCACTATATTTTGGGAGATTTTTATAACATATTGTAACCACATATTTCAAAGAAGAGCCTGTTCATTTGATATTGAAATAACAAGTTTAATAAAGCAATAGTTGCAACATTTGGAAATAAAAATATTTTGATTGATCTCTGTACGTAGGTCACATTATAATTTAGCTAAACTTTCAGCAATAACTGCCATCTTAATGCTTATGTCTGATTTGGGCACCCTTTTTTATTTTTGAGGTTCCAGTTTAAGTGATTCATTTCTAGAATGATAATGGGAAAACATGCCAATCATTCGAAAAAATGACTTCACTGATTTTGTGGAACAATAGTTTTGTCTCTGACTTCGGATTAGACACTACAAATTTAGCAGAGGTAGCTTTTCTCTGTTTGCTTGCTTCAAACAAGGCGTATGTCTTTTGCTGTTCTTGAGGAAAATTTTACATAGGGCAAATTAGCTACCCTATGTAAATAAAATTAATTCACTAGTTATTAGAAAAGTTGCTAAAATTTGTAGATGGGATCTCTGGAGATTGGATGTATACTGTACCTGTTCCAATCTGTGGTTAGGGATTTCTTCTGCAGCTGGTGCTCCTGGCTCCTTAGAAACACAAATCAACAACAAGGGGAAAGAAAGGTCTGTACTCTGGAGACAGAGACTATCCAACTCCTTGAAGAAAAGATCTGTAACTTTGATCTCAAGTCTATTTATAGGAAGCCAGAGAGCAAGGTGAAAGAAGTGTTGCAGAAATGTGTTCTTACTGTCTGAAACACACCGTGGTCCAATTTGCCTCCTGTAGCCTCCAGCTGTCGAACGGTTAGAAAAGCCTAAGCTCTGCTTTTTTTTTTTTTTAAATACAATGAGCAGTGATTAAGAGACACCTCCATTGAACAAATCATTGCCTCATTAAATTTAACAAGGGACTTTTTCATATCAAAATGGTCCTCTCCTGTGACAAACAAAGCATCACAGCTTCTTACCAAAGCACTATTCAACTCTGGAAAGGTGAATTATCATGACAGTAAAATTGATATTAGCTGCAATTGAGACAGCTGTAAAATTGAGACTATATGCCCATTTACTGAAATGTCTTCCGAAAGGTTATTATAGTCAGTTTACTGTATAGTGATATCTGCAATCCCTTGCCATTTAAACATTGTACCCCTATATTACTAAAAGTGGAAGCTATTCTGACATTTCAAAATTTTTAACAAGCTACATTACTATTTCCCAGGCAATACCAATTTGAACAAATTTTAATAAAGGTTAATGACATGTTTTATGCCTGCATGGCCTTATGCATACTAAACTGGATTACTTTCAGGCAAAGACACAGTCCAGGGTCATGTGATAAAAAGGAAAACTTGTCATTAAACAAAAAACTGAAAAAAAGCCCACAAAAGAATTTTATTCCAGGAACAAATGTGGTTTTCTTATGGAAGAAAAATAGCCTTTTTTGTAGGTCACAAGACTGACTGCAGCAGTACTGTGCTAGATCGGGTTAACTGTACCAGGCCGGGTAAGGCATAGGTACAGCTGTACAACAACCTCACTTCAGCTCTGGTCTATCAAAGGAGAAGTGGATCGATCAGTCTTTACGTGAAAGGAAGCAGCTTTTTAAAACTTGCTTGAGACTCATGTTATATTCAGCTACTTGCATTTGATTAGACTTACCACTGAAACCTGTATTTTCCTCTTACTGGGGACAGGGTAGCCATATTGCTTAATTGTCTATTAAAATTCCCTGGTAAGTAAGAGCAGTTACAGCATTCCAACATTCTGTCTTAGTTTACAATTTAATGATAAATTTGCTGGCCAGAATTGCTACTTTCTGTATACAAGCCTTTTCATCCTCTCTAGTCCTTGAAGAGAAGCTAAATGATTATGAATTCTCTCTCTCCATTTTGTGCTTTCAGCCAGAGAAGTCAAAGGAAGGTAATGTCCTCCGAGTGGTTTTTACAAATTTTTTTTTTTACATTTCAGAAGTGGCTAAATGAAAGTTAATTGAAACTATACAGCCAATTCCAATTCATGCAGCCATGGAAAATTTCAGTTTGAGAAGGAGTAGCTATAGAGTCATAGAATAGTTTGGGTTGGAAGGGACCTTTAAAGGTCATCTAGACCACCCCGCCCTGCAATGGGCAAGGACATCTTCAACTAGATCAGGTTGCTCAGGTTGCTATAAATGAGTAAAAGACTTACAACATAGGAGTTCATCAGTTTTCACAGATATGCTTACAAAACTATAATGTTAAAAGCAAACAGGTAACACTACCTCAAAGCTAGGTATATTTAGGGTTACAATGAACAATGTTCCGAAATGGGTATTTTTACTAATTTCGTTGGACTAGAAGAACCATAACTAAAGCTGTAGTCGTGGAAGTCCTGGCCCAAAGAATTACAGCAATTTGTGCTATTACTGCTTTCCTCTCACAGGCAGCTGTTAGAAGTTACCTCACCAACTTCATTCACTTCAGTACAAAGTTAACTGGGTAAGCAGTAGTGGGCTTCCCTGGCAGAACAGGAATGACTTCAACTGCCACAACAGCCTGTGCACTTAATATCTGAACACAGCCAAAGGCCGAAATTGTTCACATTACCAAGGACAAAGCTGAAGAGTATGTTAGATAGAGCAGCATGCATTTAAAGTGTAAGGCCACTATGAAACTTAGAAATTAAATAGAAATAATTTTCAGTAAATCTATTAACTACAGAATGTCATTTAAAAAAGAGCAGATACAGTCTTTTCTTGAACAGCTTGACATTTTACCCGATTATTAAATCACCTGTCAATTACATGAAACATTCTGAAAAGCTTAATACACAAGCTTTTTGGGTATTTCCCATGTAAATTCTTCTCTCCCAAAGTGCCCATAGCAAGCTGTTTTTTGATAGATTGGCCTCTTCAAATCCAGCTCCCTTAATGAAAAGAAAAAAAAAGCAGGTCTTACACATAACTCTAATCCATCGTATATTATGACTGAGACACATCAGAGGGATAATCAGTATTATCCCTGGAAGAAAGACAGTAAAACCTAGGTGGTGTTTCCTTGCCCAATCACCCAGATTTACAGCAGGAAAGGTAGTGAGCTGATGGTTGCAATTTTAAAGTGACTAGAAACAGCCAGCTTTCTTCAAATGTATCAGAGATGTGGTAAGTATGCAGTTAGGCTTTATAAGCATTACAGTGCAGAAGCATTACAATTGGAATAAAGTTCAGCTATACCTGTGCAAGCATCAATGTGTTTTCTGTTATTGCAAGTGTAATATAGAATATTTTCTAATGCTACTGTGCCAGAAAGACAATGATGATCTCAAAAGAAGCAGCCAAAGATGATGATCTAGTAGACCAAGTAACTGAGTAACTGTGGAGGTTTAACTGCTTATATAGATGCACAAAGTCACTATTTAGAGTAGGGCTTAACACTGATTATGACTAGATAACTAATGAAGGTGAAAGTCAAGATTATTGCTTTTTAGCCTGCATAATATAGTGGATTGCAGCTGTGCTAAATGGGTAGCCACAGGTATCTACACCGAAGTTTCTCTTCATTTCATGAAAGGCTTGAAACATTTTCTTCTACTTGGGCTTTCTTCTATTTGGTATTATGTTGTTTAATTATCTTTGGAAGCACATTTAAAATAGATGATTCATATTGTAAGCTGCTGGAGAGAAAATTGGTGGAGGAACGGCAAAGTAAGGAAAGAAGCACAAATACTAACAGGAAAATGAATATGTTTCAGATGGTGAAGAGATTACACATTCTCACACTTATGGGGTCATTTATGATGTACAGCAGCTAAGTCTTGTTTCAAGTAATGTTTTGGAACATGATCACATGCTCCAATGGCTACTACAGTCATTTGTGCTTGACCCTAATACAAAAGCCATCAAAATGTGAGTGCTGACTAAATGAAAAGACATCATGAAGTACTTTGGTGCATACAGGATTTTAAAAATTGTGAGGTAACGTTTAGCAAGGAAATATTCACTAAACAATGCTCATGTTTTTGCCTGCTTTCTTCCCTTCTTACTGCCATAAGCTTACTGCCACATAGCACTTCCAGGGCTATGACAATGTATTTTAAAAATGCAGCATTTTTGAGCACACCAAATCAAGGAAAGTGTCTGGGAACCACCACACAAATTACTGATGGCGGTGAACTGCCATAATGACAAAGGCAAAGAAGAGTTTTGATTATACTTGTGAACTGGTAACTCTTGGAAAACATTACCTAGCAACAGAAGTTGCCATAACGCCTTGCATTATCTCAGACAATTAAAAATGTAAGTCAGCTCTACTCTCAGCATATATGTTCAGGAAACATTCTGAAAAGGAGTGCAAAAGGCTGGCCACACCAGCAAAATGTTGATATAGCTTGTCAGAAATGTCTTTGCTTTTTTAAGGTAAAAAAGAGACTTCCTATTCACTAACATGTTGACATTTCTCCCCTCCGAGTCAATTACACTCAAGATTCCTGTGGATTATAGAGACTAGAATTATATTAATAGCTCTGGATTTGAAAGAGAAGTGAATCATTAAAAGCATTTTCCTCAAATAATGAGATAGCTAACATGTATGTTTAGAACATGTATATTTTAGAACAGAACTTTTAAGACCCGCATTGCTCAAGGTGACAAAGTGGTTCTTCTGTGCGTGGAGTCAAGTTCTTGCTGGTATCTGTCTCAGGCTTGAGCTCCCATGTCAATTTCAGAGAGTTTAATAAGGGGTGAACTCACAGTGTGGCTGCTCCCTTAAAAGAGGAAACAGATAGTGTTTCTCTCCATTAGTTGCATATTTCATGAAACTTTAGGAAGTCCAGCCTGAGCCTGTCAAGTTTGGTGAAAATCAGCCAAGAGATTCGAAAGTTCTTCAGGACTGAGAAGATAAGCCTGTACCACTAGGTCTTAGGAAGCTGTACTACAAATAGACAAGAAGCTCTACCTCCTCAAAGTTCACATAAAGAATCACATGAGTTAGTCACGAAAGGAAGAAAAAGACTGAAAAATGCTAGGGTCAAATTACAGCTCCCTGGAATGTAAGTGGGTAACTGCTGATAAGGACAGCTGCTTGATCTGCTTCTCTCCTCCAGCCCTTTCTTCTCTCAAAGAAAGGGGTAATTCCCATGCTTCTTTAAGTGTAAGGATTATGTTTGTCTAAAAAGACCTGCTTTTTGAGGTCCAGAAATATTCCAGAAAGGAATATAGCTGGGTTGGCTGCAGGAAGCAATGTAAGTAGGTTTGGGTTTTCTTGTCCTCTCTGACTGCATGGTAGCCTCAATGACGCTTCCAATCACAACTGAATATTCACTTCAAGACAGCTCATCTCATGGCGGGATTTTTATTCTTGTTCTGTTTTTCAAATGCATACAATATTTCAATGACTTACAAAATCTTAAGAGAGCATTTAAGAAGCCTGGATTCCTTTTTAATTAAGTTTAGTTGACTTCAAACAGGCTGCACAAGACTGCATGACAACTAGAGACAGGCTCTCAGTGTTCAGTTTTTCTGATGCAGAAGGTATGTTACACCTCATGAAGAAGCTAGTCACTTAAGGGTGTCTTTTCTCTTCTGGGCTAATGGCCAATATGCCCAGAACATATGCAACAGCAAACACCATACTGCCACTATTGTGGTAGGGTGACACTCAGCTTCTGGGCATGAGCAAGGGCAAATTACAGCACATGACGTCCCACTCATTTCAGTGGAATTGCTTGTGAAGTGAGGGCACCAGAACCTTTCTATCTTGTGGCAGTTGTCTCACAAGTTGTTGCCAACTAAAGATCAAAGGCAAGGAGACCATACTTACCCCAGTACTTCTTTCAGAAAGAGCCAATATTTCTGGTGCCTTCCAGATAAGGCAGGGATTGGGAGCCTTACACACCCTGTAAACAGACTGGAAAGCCTAACTACATCTAATGCTAAATTTTAATTCTACTTTACCAAGCACACTACCACCCGACTAATGAACTGCAATGTAGCACACTGCCAGGGTTACTGGGAGATATAACATGGTATAATTTAGACCAGTCTTACTTATTCAGTACATTTTGTGACCAGATTTATGAATTGGCCCTCATATGTTGTACTGGGTGCATGGGTAAAGGAAGAACAGAAATGACAGCAATTACAGATTTATGATGAAGGTGACTTTCATGAGGTTAGGAGCCAGAGACTTTAACATTAAACTGTTAAAGAGCATTAAAAATATGATTCCTTTCAGTAAGTAGTAATAGCACACAAACCTTATGATAGCTCCAAGGCGTAGATCAAAGTTTTTCTGCACAATCTCAAGCAGTTCTTCTTCAGATCTGTCTGACGTTCCGTAATGAAACACTGAGATCGCAAGAGGATGACTCAGACCGATAGCATATGATAGCTGTAGAACACATGCATGCAACCCAAACACAGTTAAAACAGTCCTTCCTACTTTTTCCTTAAAAGAAAGGAAAGGCTTATTTTATGTATCAGGGGAAGATTTTATGCACACCTTTTCGGCATAAAGAAAGCTAGGAGATATGCTTTTGCTATTTGTCTTTTATGTTAGAAAATCATCTGTTTTCCTTACAGAATGCTCAGCCTGGTCAAATATCAGACCTAAGTGACGCTCCTTAAAAGCCAAAGAGGTACTTTCTAATCATCCTCAGATACTGCCATTCTGCATCCTTCAGCCTCAGCTAGACACAAGGATTTCATGCCTTTGAGACTGGAGACTCTGAGATCTACAAATATTTCTGGGGTTTTTCGCTGAGGCAGAGAAAAGATTGGCTAGGACAAGATGAGAACAAGCTCCACGTTCCTAAAGCACTCACAGACTCGTTTTCCCAGAGTGAGTTATTTCCATGCACTCCCTGGAACGTCATCCAATATTTCCATGTCCTTTTTAAAACACAGCTGTCAGAAGTAGACAAAGTAACCCAGGAAGTATTCCCTGTAATTTCACTTCATTCAAAGAAGGACAGAGGAGCTCTATAGCTCCTTTCTGACATCCAAGAATCACATTAGCTTTTTTTCACCACAGCACTGCACAGCACAGCACTGACAGGTTCTCCTGAAATGTATTTGCTTTTATCATTCAGTCCCTTTCCCAGTCCTGCTGCAGTACAGGCTAACATACACTTCACTTTCTTCCATCATGGTGTATTTGGATGAAAATACGTTTTGCTTGAATGTCACTAAGCAACGCAAACCATTCTGTGGCTTTCACTGGTCTTCCTCATTGTGTCTACTTTCTACAGATTTCAAGAAGTAATAGTCCAATGTCTCGGTTCTATCTATGTACTTCTTAGTAACCAAGAACTGATTTTTGTTAGAAACTGCCCTAATCGTGGCTATCTTCCCCTTAGCTAATTTTGAGATCATGCTAAGTCTGTTTTTCATTAACCAATAAGCTGACAATTCTATACACACTAAAAAAAGCCTACATGGTATTTGTGATAATATACAGTTAATTAGTCTGCAGTTCCCTCCATTATCCATTTTGCCCTTTCAGTATGAAAAAGTGGTTAGCATGGAAACAATATCCATAGCAGAGTCAGCTCAATTGTCAGCCTCAGTGGAGGCTGGCAAGGTCTTAGTGTAGCACACAGACACTAATGGGCTGAAAACACTTTTGCATTTCCACTTGATACATTTTTCCTTTCGTTAACCTTTAACCCAGCCTCCTATGACTTCACGGGACATTTGCTTTTCTGCTCTCCCATTCTCCTCTCTCCTCCCATCTTACCTTCATTGCTAGTATCTGACATCTCCATAGTTTGCTGTTAACAAAATCAATCTTGCCTTGTCTAGAGTCGGGCCCAGGTATTTAAGGAGGGTCTCTGTGAATTACTGGAATAACAGCATTCCCACCTAACTCAAGAACTAAGACAGTGATGTATGTGTTCAAAAATGCCACTCAAAATGTGCATACCAAGAAATCAAAAGTTTGTCTTCTCTCCCCTCAGAAAAATAAAAAAAAAAATTATCAACAATTTGCTAACCAACACTATTTGTGCTCGGCTTATTGCCAATCTCCCCTTTCCTTGACTAACTCCAGACTTTAAGTTTAATCAGGTATCAAACACATGCACAACATCTAAAGCAAGGGGGCTTGTTCCTAATTGGGATGTCTGGATACTATGTCATTGATCATAACCACATCCAGCGGGCCTCTCCTCTGGTCTACGGAGAAAGTAAAAGGTTTTAAACACACCTCTTCAGCAAAACATCAGCCAGATCACTGCTACTTTTTACTGTAGTAATTTGTTGTACTGGGTTGAAGTTATTACATAGCAGCTACTCAGAATAAGCATGTCTATAAACTGGTATTGCAAACTGTCTAGACAAACCTCAACTGTTTAGCAGTTAACATTAGGTTCATGTTTAATGGTGAAACTGTCTAGGGGTCAATAAAATACCTCTTCTGACTTCTTAGACTTAGTAGTCCCAAAAATTCATGCACAGGAAGGAAGTGCATTTCTTCTGAGCATATAAGACTGATTAAAGTTGTTCTTGTTTTAGACTCTTAAAAACAGCTGAATTTTGCTTTTAGTCACACCTCACACCATAGTAGTATATGAGGAACACACAGTAGAGAACTCATGGTAACTTTAAGGTAGTTTCAAATACAGCTTAAAATGGTTTAAGTTACAACTAATACAACCATATAGTACAGCAGGTTGCACAACTACGTCTAGACACTGCTAACATAACTGTCTATAATGTGCTGTGCAGCCCAGGTTGGAGTGCTGGGCATGCATGTGTATGCAGAGGATATAGAGTTGCTGGAAGTAAAAGCAAGGATGATGCAAAGAAGTACCTAGACTAGGGATGGCAACAGAGTTGTAGAAAGACTACTACTGAGAACACACTCCTTGTTTCAGGACCATCCTGGCCTATGTCCTTGGCTTTCTTCATAGGGCTCCTTAATAACACACTGTCCTGGTTTCGGCAGGGATAGAGTTACTTTCCTTCCTAGTAGCTGGCACAGTGCTGTGTTTTGGATTTAGGGTGAGAACAAAGTTGATAACGCACTGATGTTTTAGTTGTTGCTAGGTAATGCTTACACTAGCCAAGGACTTTTTAGTTTCCTATGCTCTACTGACTGAGAAGGCTGCAGGTGCACAAGAAGCTGGGAGGGGGGCACAGCCAAACTGGCCAAAGGGACATTCCATACCATGTGACATCATGCTCAGTACATAAACTGGGGGAAAGCTGGCCGGGGGGAAAAAATATTATTATATTATTATTATTATTATTATTATTTTATTTCAATTATTAAACTGTTTTTTATCTCAATCCATGAGTTTTTCTCACTCATGCTCTTCCAGTTTTCTCCCCCATCCCACCGGGTGGGGGGGAGTGAGCAAGCAGCTGTGTGGTGCTCAGTTGCCGACTGAGGTTAAACCACAACACACACCCCTAAGAGGAACTTCCTGGAGCCCCATTCTAGTATAAGAAATGCTTTTCTGAAACTGGAGCGCGGCTGTGATAGTAGTATGTATACTGAGGGGGTGACCACACATGAGAGAATTTCTGTTATGGTGTATTACTCTCACAGTTGCTCTTACCTGGATTAATACTCTTTTACAGAGACCAGCTTTCACCAGCAATTTTGCGATCCAGCAAGCTGCATATGCTGCAGAACGATCAGCTTTGGAGGGATCTTTTCCAGAGAATGCACCTCCACCATGGGCTCCCCAGCCTCCATAGGTATCCTCCTGCCAGTCACTCCAGCATCACTCTGCAGGACAAACAACTGAATGCATTCATGAGACACGACAGTTTACCCAATCCCATACTACGTTATTGGGTACAGCTTTGTTTTGTATTTGCCACAGATATGACTCATTGTTCACAGTGTTCACCTTCACATGCAACTGTTTAATGAATGAGGTCTACATGACTAGAGTATTTTTCAGAGATGTACTAAGCCATCTGTGCTGCAGTCACTTTTTAAGACTGATAAGAATGTGGCACAACTGTAAACATCACAAAAAGTGTGCTCCCTTCAAACCAGCAATCATTAAATACTATCTCTGGATTACTAGCCAATGACTTCACTCAGTAATACTTAATGGAGGCCAAGAATTTAGAGAGACAAAAGCCTTCCTGAAAAACAGATCACGTATGACCTAAAAGGTTAACAAGCTTCACTTAGATACACATACTAAAGGGGAAGCAGCGGCTTCATAGAGCTGCAGCTCAGTGCTGCCAGCACAAGAGTACTCAGAAATTCTAGCTGAGTTCACTAGTGGCACAAGGACCACTTGGTACTACTCTTCTTTCTTCTTCCTGCCTGCCTGTGCCCCAGATAATGGAGTCCCACCCTCTCGCATGGACTTTTGTCTGCCTCCCACAACTTGATGAGCTGATCCAACTTGTTCAACCAGCAGAGAATTACTGCCTTTCTGTCAGATTAGCAAAGCTGGTGACTGCAAGCTGATAAATGAACTCCAGAGTGTTGAGAAACTCCATCCTGAAAGAGGATAAATTGCATTAATCCACTAATTTTAAATCCCCAAATAAGTAATATGGGAGTAAAGCTGACATTTATTCTTCATTGGAAGCCGTATCCCTATATCATCCCAGTGTGATCATAAGCACACCTTGTAGTTTTAATCCTTCATTGAACTCTTTATACAAAACTAGTCAGTTTTGTGTAACAAAACATTTCACAATTTCACGGCAATGACTGGCTTACCTAGTACCAGCACCTGGAAAGCAGAACACATGTCAAATTTTAATGAGTATTGAGACTCAATACATTAAGGTCTCCCTTGAAATTTGTTCAGCTTTCTGAATAATTTCAATGTAGAAGATCAGATCTGTTGTTATTTCTGGTTTCGATTTTTACTGTGAAAGTGAAGAGATACTTCCAGTCAGGCATTTTAGTGTATAACTTAAGGGCTGGCTTTTGGTCATTTAAAATACAGGCAAAGATTGAAGAATCTGTACATTTGGCTGTCCAAGCAGGTACAGCTTCAGTTTAGATGCCTGCTGTCCAGTAGGAAAATTCCAGTAGAAATGACTGAAGTGTCCTTAAAAATGTATAGACTTTAAAGGTATACCAGTTCATTGCACTTTTGTTCAAGAGAACATTTAGAAGCATGTGGCAAAGTAGAATCCAAGTCTGTATAGGCTGTCCTTTTCCAAAGTACCATACCTTAGGACCACCTTCTACAAACTTTTCACTTGGAAAGAGATGATAAATTGTGCCCTCACCAAGATACTTCTCTGGAATGACTTCTTTAACAACTTTCTCCATTAGCTCCTTCTGTATTTGTTGTAGTGCTATGTCTAGGGCATGACGTACTGAAATCACAAGTGTGTGCACTCAGATGGGCTCCACTGCGCCATTACTCTCCTTGTATTCCATTGTGACCTAGAGAGAAAAAAAAAGGACAGTGAACACACAAGGCCAAGAGCACCAGTTTGAAAAATGAAAATGAACCTCACACTTATTTTCTGCATCAAAAAATAAACAGATGAAGGGAAATGGGATGAAAAATGATGGATTGTTGCATATGCTTAAAATCACTGTAAGAAAAAAATTAAAATACAGAAAGTACTGAAGTACTAGTACCAAAAGAGTTAACTAAAGGATATTACATGTATCACCACAGAGAACCAAAACAACAGCAAGAAAGCTACAGAAGCCTAAGATTTTACTGGCAGATGCTAAAAGTATTCACGGTTTGGCATGTTAACATAACTTCAAATAGTGAAACACCAAAGTAAAGCCAAAATAACTTTTGGAGGACCCTGCTAAAATGGGCAACTGTAGATCATGATATGATGGGCTGTATCCTTTGCTACCTATTGCACGGCTTTTATGTACATGCAAATATATACTGGCATTGCTCCATCCTTAGTATTGGTTTTCTTACAGACTAAGATGACCTCTCTATTCTCCCACCCTGCAAAAATGCTTGGATAGATACATCATAAAGAAAACAGTCTATTCACATGTTCTGTGCACTGCTGACAAATGGTAGGGACACAATCCATGTTGCACTGCATCAACTGCAGCAGTGTAACTCAATGCAGTTCATTGCCACTAAGCAACAGAAATTAAGACTGAAACACCTTGGTGTCTTGGAAATGCCACATGTATGGCTTCCCTTTCCTCTCCTGAAGATTTCACCGCCTGGGAGACAGAGAACTTACTGCCTTTGATGCCAAAGTGCATCACTCTTACAGTAGGCTCAGTAACTCATGCACTCAGCTCTGCAACACAGCTGTCAGTGGCTCTGACCACTGATCAAATACAGCATGTATGAGGTTTGAATCAAGAACAGCCCTGTTTTAACTGAGAAACCATAGCACTATCCCAGTTCATGCTTCTGGAATGCTGATATTTATTCAGAAAAAAAACAGCTGATTGTCAGTAACTTGTTAATCTTCAGGGGAAAAGAAGCAAAATACAAGTGTTACTTTGAAGAAACCTGCTAAGACACTGATAGAACAGTTTAAACAAACCATGTGTGCTACATACAAATGTACCATATGAAATTCACACCACCTTGGAACGTGAAAAGGACAGCACCATTTTTGACAAACATGAATTCTGATTTAGTAGCAGTCAGGGTAAAAGATTTCTATTGTTTCTCACCCTTACAGTTTATGGATCTATGTTACGAACCTGTGTTTTCCCATCTGGTCTAACCCAGGGCCATGTTCCATTCCGTTCCAGAGCCTTTATCCTTGCAGTCAGTTTGTGTGCCAGGAGGACTGTTAAGGGCATACATTCTTCAGTTTCATCAGTGGCATAGCCAAACGTCAAACCCTGCATTGAGAAACAGGGAACTGCATTGAAAAACAGGGAAATAAGCCACTTGTTTCCATGTGCCACTTGTTTCCATGTTCTCTTTCCATTTCTGCACCTGTCTTTGCCACATAGCACTTTAAAACCACCCAAGGCTAGAAAGAGACAGCAGTAACATGCAGGGTGAATACACTTTGCCATATAACCATGCTGAAATAACATATATGTATCTGCACGCACAAGAATCAGAGCTACAGCAGGGTCTGGAACCAGAATGACTCCGCCTTAAGCGTCCATAAGAATCCACTGCAAAGGCTTAATAGACAAAAAGCTCATAAAGACTGCTCAGTCTTCTTCCCACACATGACAATTAAAATAACAGTATTTGATGCCTAAGAAGTAAAGCCAGGCTACCCAAAGGACTTCAAAGACCAGAAACTAACACCTACTGATAAAAACAGATATATACCTTAATTGTAGCTCTATCCAGTAAGGCCACTGGATATGGGAAAAGCCACTTTCACTGAAACTAATGAAGGCTGTGTCACTTCTGGTGATTAAGAGAGTGGACAATGTTTAGCTGCTACTTCTTACACTTTGCACAATAGCTTTTAAGGAAAGGCTCTGGTCCAATGCAATTCTAACTGCTTGTGCATAAACTAAATTTGAGTAAGTGCCTGGAATTAAGTCCCATCACCTGATCCCCTGCTCCAATGTTATCGTCACTTTTGCCACGGGAGACAGCATGCTTGATCTCTTTACACTGTTGTTCTAAGGCCACTAAAACTGTGCAAGTCTTATAGTCCAGTCCTAGTGAAGGGAATTTTTTAAAGTTAGGTCACACATTCTTGAGAGTTCACAAATTGCTAGAGAAGCTTTTAGGGATTATCTAGTTACCTTGACTAAAACTTTTAAAACTCTAAGCATGTTTTGTATTGCTAATAGAAGCAGACAATAAGCACATTTATATAACAGTCTCAGGATGAGGGCAAGTTAGTGGTACTAGTTGAAACTTGAGCTCTTGAAACTGAGAGGGTAAGTATAATCCTACAAGGTACTCCACCAAAGTTTGTTACATTACTTATGATGACTAGGGTTCAAACCATTTAGGTATTAAAGCTGGGAGAGGAGAGTGGAAAATGTTACCAGAAACTGGTATTCAGTTTTTCTTGTAGTAGGTTCTAGGGTTCAATCGAATTAGAGAAAAGCCATATAGATCATGCATGAAAAGGGAAGACTGAAGGGGAACAGCCATGTAAGGGGTTCAACTGCTGAAAGGAAGCTACTTTGGGAAATATGTTAAGAATACATAAAGAATTCCCTTGGGTGTGAACTTCAAGTTTCATAGGCGTATGCACCCCAAGGACAAGGAACATCAGTGTTAAAGCTTTCACTGTACAAACCTGCAGATGTAACCACCTTCTGACATTAGTGCAAACACTAGTTCATCTGCATCAGAGAAGAAAGAACCTGGCACTTTTAAGAATAAGTTTTTTTCAAGTGTGCTAACTTAAAATAGCTCCTTCAGTACCAGGCACTGAAAAATGCATATCAACATCTGTGCAGTTTTCTCCTAGGCCTGGATACACATTTAATTTTATTTTCCAAAAGATCATAAAAACATGACTTTGGCCACATGCAGAACAGACCCTAGAATGAACACACGAAGGATTTCACTTACCTTTGCAAGAGTCATCATACCCTATCCTCTTAAGGGTCTCTCTTAAAATTTGTTGGTAATCTACTATAGCTTGAGATGTGACCTCTCCACAAAGCAAAATCATTCCAGTTTTTGCTACACACTCTGCAGAAAAAAGATAAAACATCAGAATTTTACTGCTACTATTTTACAGTTACACAGGGAGATCCTGAAGGTTGTTCTATAAACAAAGAATTACTCATAGGGGAAACTCAGTGTAAAGCCTTAGCATACATATAGGTCTGTGTGCAACCACTCTTCTCTTCAGCTGTTATGAACATTAAAATGCCTGCAAGGAGGGGTTTCATCTTACCCAATTATCCTATCTCCACAGTGGCTCCAGATCAAGTATGTAGTGCTATTTCTCCAAATAGTTTCTTGGTCTCCAACAATTTCGGCTCAGGGTCTTCCTGAAGCTAAAGGGACATCATTTATTAACAGATGGTGTTACCAGTCTTTGACAGATTTTTGTTACTGTAATTCACCCAGTTGCCCTTGGCAACCATGAAAACTTTTAGCATCTACAGGATCCTGGAGCAAGAAGCTGTGCAACTTCACTACAAATTTTGAGCAGAATCATTTCATATTTTATTTCATTGTTTGTTTCAAGCATTCACCTGGCCTCCAAATTTTTCCTTTTTGTGTTAAAACATATAGCAAACAATCACAAAAAATTCACCACATCAATACAACCTACAACTGTACAGCTCTATTTCATATCTAATTTAATCCTCTCTTTTCCAGACTGAGGAGGCCTAGGCTATTCACTGAAAGACATTGTGCAGCTATGATCGTATTTGTTACTCTTGCCATACAATCTTACTATTGCCTTTTTTGGGATGGGGGTAGAGAAACAGATTGCACACAGTATTCAAGACAACCATGAATTTATATGACTTAATAATGTTCTCAGTTCCATTCTTTGTTCCTTTCCCAGCAAGCCCTAACAGTTGGCTTGGGTTTTTACTGCTACAGAGCACCGACGCTTTTCACAGAAACATATGTCTATTACAACCCAAAAATCTCTTTTCTGAATGCTTGCAGTGAACTGCAAATCCTACTTTCTATATATGGGGGTAAGATTTCTCCCTTCCCCCATGCATTAGCCAACACTGAATTTCATCCATCGCTTTTATCATCCAGTCACCATCTCATTTGAATAATTTTATTTGATTTCAAGATTAAGTATTACAGGCAGGAATATACTATAAAATTGCACAACTATGGACTGCAGCATCACATAAAGTTGATCAAGCTAGCTTTAATTGGCAGCTTAGCTTGAATAATCCAGACAAGCAGTTGAGAACTTAGCACAGGGCAAGCTTTCTCTGTTTGTCTGTAAGAGGAATTAGTCTATATTGAACTATTAAGCTACATCCTAGCTGGCATGGTATCTCTGAATTACACTGTGGACACAGTGAGAGTCCATAATAATACAGTAGCCCTAAATGTATACAGCACATTAACCCCAAGTAGTGATACCACTACAGTACAGGGTATCCTGGTACCATTATTTTCACATTCAGTCTTGTGCCCCTGCTCTACTGGCAGCAGTGCTCTTCCTGTCTGCTACACCATAGCAGAACACTTATATGTGTGAGGCATGTATGGTGCTGTGAATCCTGTGCTGCGGGAAGAGACCCCGCATTACAGGTGTGAGGCAGAGAAGAACGGCTCTCAGATTTTCCAGTGTGGTCACTACAAAAAGGGGAAGCCTCTCTGGAAGAACACAAAGTTAGGGAACTGGGGCTTAGATAGATGGAAGAATAAGGCTGCAGTTGCCACCAACAGTCCCTAGAAATTCTCCCAGGCCCATTACAGCCAAGCAAAGCTTGATAGTGATGCAAGACTTCATGTCATGATGATGCTTTTTTAGTATCAGGATAACAAAGATTCATCTTGCTACCTTTGACTGCTTTCCATCCTGACTGAAATTTAATTCAACCAAAAGAAAACACAGCTCAGGAGCTGCACTATAGCTGCAACTTACAAGTCAGCCCAAGCAACACCCCCATCTGCTCTACCCAAGAGAAAGTTAACATATAAGGTTTTGGGCTCTTCACTGGGGGGTGATATCTTACATGTTTAAGTGTCCTCAGAAGAATATTTTGAACACCATTAGTAGGTAGAAACTTCCACCTTCTCTTTTGTACTGTCTTGGTTTATGGACAGTTAGTTTTCCCTCTTGACTCTCATTTCCTGGGCATACTGGGAAGGACTTTTTTTCCAAGAAAGGCTTCTCTTAATCAGAGAGGAAGTAGAATAATTATTCTGCCTTCTGCTTTATGCTACTTGCAGCCAGTATTCTCTTGCTTGACTTTACTGCTACCCAGTTTGTTGGCAGCACAAAGAGAGACCAGCTCTGTCCTGCTGAAATGAGGTAGTGCCAGTGTAACAATTCAGAACTTCGTATGCAAAGCTTGCTAATCCTAAAAGTCCAAGCAGCAAATAAAACTCAGAGAACCACAGATACATTTTTCTACTGATAGACAGAATCTAGTTTCAACATCTCCATAAACTACATTTCACAGTTTTGTAAAATACAGTGTTACAGTGACTTAGTACTTACATAACGCTTTGAGATTTTTTTTCTGAAACTTTGAGGCAAGGCCTGCACAACTAATCAGAAATTCTAATTTTCACCCGGTAAACCCTGTATTGAGTGCCGTAACTGCTTTCTGTTCTCCAGCCCACTACTTTTTTAGCAATCTCTGTGCCTGGTCAACCAATTTATCTTTTCCAGACTCACACTTCAATGTTATACTGAAGTTTTCTGACTCCAGTCAGCAGTTTTGATATTTTTTTTCCCAACAGATTATAGAAATCAGGGATTTATCTATGTAATCATGTCACATCTCAGTCTTCTTTTTTGGTAAGAAACTGATCATGTTTCTCACATCTCTTATGACACATTTTTCACTCCCTGTCATTTTTGCAGCATTTCTCTGTTACCATCTCCAGCTTTTCAGCAGTTTTAGAAGCATAACTGCCTGCAATACTGAAATACATGCTTCATCAAGCCTAATACATGTGCTAAACCCTTCCCCACCACGTCTCCTTGCTGCTCCCATCTATGCATCAAGGATCACATGAGATTTTTCAGATGAAGCATCACTGTATTTGTGGAATGCAGCTAGTCCTCTATGCTGTAAGTATGGCCTTGATGGTTTGTTCTAAGAACAAAATGACTGCATTTGGAGAGCTCTTCAGAAACATTCCCTTTCTGTGTCCATTCCCCATTGGCAACCCAGCTCATTCCAATTTTATGATATGTTCTTAGCCTCTGGAAGAGGTGATGTTGCTAGTGACAACATCCACGTAGAATACAGTCCCAACAGAAAGTCCCAAGAAAAAAGCAAGCCACTTTGATCAGAATCACATTCAAATGAACTGTGCACTTACCTTCCTGTGAACCAAGGGCATCACCCTGCTTCTGTAAAGGCACAGTAAATATCTCTTTAGCACTTCCAGATTTTGAGTTTTATTAACACCTTTTACTCACTCTATGAAGAAATGCATCTTGACATATACCTTTCCTCAGTTCTCTTTTTCCCTAATTTTCTTAGATTCATCATTATCATTAGCCCTGTCAACCATAGTTTTCCCCAATACCACTGGCTTCTCCTGATCTGTTTCTTACATTTCATCATTTATAATTTGTACTGGAGTACTATGTATTTCCTTTTTTCTGTTCATCTTTTGCAGCTTTTTTCCTGCCTTCCCCTCTCCTCTGAGTCAGTATGCCAGAGTTGGCCTCTTGACTGACTGTGGAAGTGTTGACTGCCAGCCAGCTATTGCAAGAATTTTGGATCATGAGATGTTATACCAACATGAATTACTTGTTGTACTTCATTAATCTATTTTTCTATCTGTATTGTACTTACCACAGGCAACTTTGGCATCTGGATCAATACTGAGATGAGCATCTAGAACAGCATCACTTATCTGATCACACATCTTATCTAGAAGATAAAAACAAGACAGATATAACATTTCTTTTTGTGGTAAAAACAAAAAAGTGATTTCTTAATAAAATTTCATTTCCGGTGGGCAAGAGACTTCTGTTTATAGAGCATCTGTCAAGAGGCAATTTTAGCAACTTATATTCTAAAAGGTATGTCTTACCCTGTTTTCACTCCTCTCCTCAAGTCAATCCTAACTGACACTTTTCTATCATCTGCACAGGCCAGCAGCCTCCCAGGCGAGGGGACAATGAAAAAGGCCTGCAAAGGCATCCTGAGATACTAGTTTCAGGAGAACAGAAGATACAAGAAGTAACTTCGGAAGAAGTATTTAAGCTAAGACCTTTCTGTAGCAGTTTTGCATTCTTCCCCTCTTTATTTTAAACTTTGTATTGTATTTTCAGTGTGAATTACCTATTTTGATCTACATCTTATAACTATCAGAGGTCTGCACTTAAGGCAGTGTTTATCCCTTCACCACCTGCAGTGGGGACCTCTGAGATCTCATGTGTCAACTTTTTTGGATGACAAGAGGCATTGCTCTCCCTGCAAACAGGTACATTAGATTGAAGTCTACTCCTGCAATTATCCACAACTATCCAGCTCATTTGAGTTTAGAAAAGCATCTGCAAACATTCTCTCAGGGACAAGCATTGGCCACTCACAAGTTTCCACAGTTATATTCCTGAGTTTTGGTCTTTTTTTTAAAGACAAAAGCACTGGAGCGAAAAGTTCTTACCTATTCTGTCTTTAGCACCAATGACTTATTGTCCAAGTAAGACCTGAGTATGCCAAACGCATTTGGTTTGTTAAAAGTTAATGAACAATTTCGAGGACAAATTGAGATTCTTTGTCTCATTAGGGTAACTGAAGCAGGTAAAAGCAATCCATCTTATTACCTCAAAAGTACAGCTTTGAAAAGTTGTATATCTGCAGAAACATGAGGAACACGCATTAATCTTCATAGAATCATAGAATAGTTTGGGTTGGAAGGGACCTTTAAAGGTCATCTAGTCCAACCCCCCTGCCGTGGGCAGC